AGTATCGTAAAAGCGATAAACTACCTACTAAAACAATAGTCTATTTTCAAGATATTGACAAGCTGTCATTTCGTTACGGATGAAAATGATAAAATCTAAGGCCATAAAGAACTCGATGAGACCTATAAAAAGAGCGGTAGGACAGGACCCCTCTCCCCTATTCAAATTTGGGGGGTTGTTCCCCCCCAGCTAGGGGGTTAAAACTACGGGAGTTAAAAAAACTGAAAAATGGTTCCCCCTCAAATCAAAAATCGACGTGTCCGAGCGTTTTTCCAGATTCTCATTCCAAATCCTATAAATCGAGATGGACTGTTTTCCCTGGGACACCCTGTATAAAAGAATTGAATACATTTTTTGAAATAAATGCTCCAAAAAAATTGTTTTGTTTTTTTCCGAACGGGTGGGGGGCGCTGCATTTTTGTACCACCGGGCGGCGAACTACCTTAAACCGGCACTGATAGTTGTATATGTGTAAGTAGTTAACTTGTCTGTACTGTACCTACTTACGTTATTACATAGCAACACAAGCAGGAACATGTTTGGGCGATCCTGCTTCAAATGTGTTGCCAAGGGTGAAGTTAGCAACCAAAATGGAAATCGATATATTTCGAAAACGGTAGGTGTTGCAGTTTGAAGCAGGACGATGCAGGACCATAGCAACACAAGCAGGAACATGTTTGAGCGATCCTGTTTCCAGTGTGTTTTCATCAAGGGTGAAGTTAGCAACCAAAATAAAAATCGCTATATCCCGGAAATAGTAAGTGCTGCGAGGGTCATATTTGAAGCAAGATGATGGAGGACCATAGCAGCACAAGCAGGAACCTCTTTCAGTGATCCTGTTTCCAATGTATTGCCAAGGGTGAAATTAGCAACCAAAATGGAAATCGATATATTTCGAGAACGGTAGGTGTTGCTGGGTTGCGGTTTGAAGCAGGATGAGGCAGAACCATAGCAACACAAGCAGGAGCATGTTTGAGCGATCATGCTTCCAGTGTGTTGCCAAGGGTGAAGTTAGCAACCAAAATAAAAGTCGCTGTATCCCGAAAATAGTAAATGTTGCCAGGGTCAGATTTGAAGCAGGATGATGCAGGACCATAGCAGCACAACCAGGAACCTGTTTCAGCGATCCTGCTTCCAATGTGATGCCGAGGGTGAAGTTAGCAACCAAAATTGAAATCGATATATTTCGAGAACGGTAGGTGTTGCTGGGTTGCGGTTTGAAGCAGGATGAGGCAGGACCATAGCAACACAAGCAGGAACATGTTTGAGCGATCCTGTTTCCAATGTGTTGCCAAGCCAAGGGTGAAGTTACGAACCATAATGAAAATCCCTGTATCTCGAAAATAGTACGTGTTGCCGGGGTGTGGTTCGAAGCAGGATCAGGCAGGACCATAGCAACACAAGCAGGAACATGTTTGAGCGATCCTGCTTCCAGTGTGTTGCCAAGGGTGAAGTTAGCAACCAAAATAAAAATTTGATTCTGTTGTTCTTGGGTATGTTTGGACCAATGAAACCAAGTGGTTTTGTTTTTTAAGCTACGTTTCGAAAAATTTATTTTCTTCTTCAGGCTGTAACCAATCGAAACAGGAAAAATTTAGCAATAATAAATAAATAATTTTCAGATAATTAAAATATTTTGAAGAATTAAATTATCTCAAAACAACAAACATTCATATAAAACAACAAAGATGATAAAAACATAAACAATATAAAAGCATTTCACAAGTTACGAGACATTCAAGACGACATATAAAGTTAAAAAGAAGTAAAAAAATATATATATATATATTTTAGAGGGTGTCAGTATTTAATCAATAATGATCGCTTACCTCCAAAACAAGGTCAATATTAATGAAATTAACAACATTAAATTCCAATTTTTGTGTTCCATACACTGATGCCTATTGTACATCATTGGTATCACAAGTTCACTTTCTTTCGAATTTTCAATTTTGAAAATTCAAATCAAAAATACGCTGAACGGCTGAAGCGTTCGTTCTGTGTTTCGATCAAACTATAGTATATTGTTACGAATGTGGTAAGCTCGGGAGTAACTGAATGGTTGAGCGGCATTAAAAGTACGAGCGGCACTAAAAGTACTTTTGCTGCCGCTGGGGTTGCCAAGCAGCATAGAATAGTATATTGTTGTATTAGGAGTAGAAGCTTTACTTTTTTGTGCTGAAGCAGTAGGTTTGCGAGCCGAACGTAGTGAGGCTTGCAATACTGCTGAAGCACAAAAAAGTGCTTCTACTCCGTATGCAACACGCTATTTTTTCTCCAAGCGAATGGAGTAAGCTCGGGGGTAACTGGTGGTTAAGCGACAGTAAAAGTACGAGCGGCACTAAAAGTACTTTTGCTGCCGCTCCAGCGGCACTAAAAGTACTTCTACTGCCGGTGCGGTTGCCTAGCAGCATAGAAATTAAATCTCTACCACCTCGACAGGTGCTACCCTGCTGCATTTGCCTAGCAGCATAGAAATTAAGTTTCTGACACCTTGACAGGCGTTAACAAAGTGAAGTTTTTTTGACGTTTGGAGAAAAATTAAATTTCTACCACCGCGACAGGTGTTAACCTACTGGATTTGCCTACCAGCATAGAAATTAAATTTCTGACATCTTGACAGGGGTTAACAAAGTGACGTTTTTTTGACGTTTGGAGAAAAAAATATTTATTACTTGTATAGGTATCTGATGGGTACCTTTGGGAGCTATGACGTCGTGTGAACGGAATGTTGTTTTTTCTATTCAATTTATTATTTATTAAGTGTAATCTCTCACCCCAATTATCAGCTATTGATTTGATTAGCAGTTCTGTCTGTCTACCAACAGGACCGATCTTGATGTTGTTCAATATAGTCATGTAGTTATTAGTTTAAATTTCAAAAAGTTGCTGATGTAGTTTATTCAGGTGTTTAAATAGGTAATTAAGTTTCCTTTATCAAATTGACGTAAATGGTAATTAAATCTTTTATGTCTCTCTGGAAGTTGACTGTGTTCACCTCTTTATTGATGAAAACCATTTTCTTGAATGTTCGTTTTTTTAAATTAGACTCACAATCTAGGATCCTATAATTTTCAAAATCGAACTTGTGTCCTGTATCAGTTGTGTGGCTGGATAGGGCCGTTGTTTCTTTGTGATACCGGCAATCATTTCTGTAGGTGTTCAATCTCTTTGAGATGTACCTATTGTTTCGTTTGACCAATATATTTTGCCTTACATGAGTTGCATGTTACCTCATATATAACGTTTGATATAAATTGTTTTTTTGTCTTGTCTTTTAGTTTTGTGTGTAAATTCCTAACCGTTTTTTTGTATTGAGGTAGGTACTACTTGTATTGTTGGTATCATCTTTGTTGTTTTATATGAATGTTTGTTGTTTTGAGATAATTTAATTCTTCAAAATATTTTAATTATCTGAAAATTATTTATTTATTATTGCTAAATTTGTCCTGTTTCGATTGGTTACAGCCTGAAGAAGAAAATAAATTTTTCGAAACGTAGCTTAAAAAACAAAACCACTTGGTTTCATTGGTCCAAACATACCCAAGAACAACAGAATAATATCTTCCTTACTGGACAAGAACTCTATATAAAAAAAAAAATATATATATAAAAATCGATGTATCCCGAAAATAGTAAGAGTTGCCAGGGTCAGATTTGAAGCAGGATGATGCAGGGCCATAGCAGCACAAGCAGGAACCTGTTTCAGCGATCCTGCTTCCAATGTGTTGCCAAGGGTGAAGTTAGCAACCAAAATGGAATACGATATATTTCGATAAAAACGCAGATAAATCGCAGCCAAACCGGAGAAAACCGCGCCAGTTTGAACTTGTCTATTTACCGCAGTGAAAACAATTTGTTGCGAATCGTCTGCGGTGCGAATATTCGTATAGGTGTTGCGAATTTTCCGCGTTGGTTTGGGAGAGCCATTAAACAAGCTTTCGCATGATTCTAAGAGGCTTCTAGATCTAGAGCCCAGACTGGATAATTTTTGAATATAAAGCGAGTTGTCTGTAAGAAAGTCGGTGTATATAGGTAGTGTAAATTTTGTAAATAAGAAAAAATTTAGTCAAATTAGTTGTTAAAAGTGATTTTTAGTGAAGTGATTTAGTGCAAAGATTTTTAGAAAATGCTTGTGATATGTATTGTAGGAGAGGAGTTACTTACTAAAATTTTTCCGCAGACATTTAATACGAAATAAAAAAAAAATTGATTTTCATTTTTTACAAAATTTCAATCATTCTAGTTCTAGTATGATTGCCTCGAGAGTTCTGGTATTTATTTAGTCATTAACGGTAGAAATCAGAAAATCTTAAATGGGAAGGGGGGTCAAGTGATACATCATTTTGGACGGCTGTCAGTTCCATACATTTTGGTACTAATGGCCGTTTTCCCAGCAATTGCCTTAAGTAAGGAATAGTTAAGGTACACTTATAGTTTAAGTAGTCCTTAAGACTTGTTGCGTTGTTCAGCGGTTCTCAAGATCAACTCTTAATAAAGAACGGAGTACCGTCTGGCAACGTTGCACGAAAATTTTCACCCTATATAATGTTAGCCTCTGTGCCGGCTATATGAAACTACGGCACTATCTTGTGCTTTTCTGCCTAAAAAATATTCTCTGATCCTAATTCCGATTGGTCGAAAAATGGTATAATTTGTGTAGATGGAAATTAGAATTATTCTACTACTCGACTCGAATATGTATAAGTAGATATAGTCAGTAGTATTGCGTGAAGAAGTGAGGAGAATTTTTCTCGAATATTTGTTTCTTAGTTGAAGTTCTTTCAGGAGAACAGTTTTAGTAAGAACGAAAAGAACCCTAAGAACTAGGTAAATCAAATCAAATGAAAAGTCCGTTATTCGTAATTCAATTGGAATATGGGGTGCGCAAATGAAGGGTGTATGTATAATATACTTTCTCTGTTCCTCGGTCATGCGAAAAACGGAGGTCTTATGGTATTGATTTTTATCTACTGCGCCTCAAACAAAAACATAGAACAGCTGAACCTGAACACTGGCTAAATCGAAGTTTCTTGTATTGAATGACAATGATGAAGAATTTGTGGTAATTTTTTTTCATCAACTTGTCCTACCTGATTTGTATTCAAAGTGCGTCCAACAATAACTGATCAGGTGTTCGGTGAGAGTGTACATTTAGTTGAATTGTCGGCGACAATAATATTGCTAAATTTCAAAGTGTACGGGTTTCTTGTGGCGGATCGCGATTATGTGAACTCATCAAACAACTGTACTTAGGAATTCTATTCTATGTCATTGTTTTGCTGTCCTTTGATGTAAGTATTGTGTAACTAATTTTTCAGTTAGTTTTGTTTATCAAAAGTACTATATCCTCACCTTTATTTGAAAATGAGTGAGTGCCTCACACTGAAAAAAAATTACTCCTCTGCTTTTTATTTACCTAAATTTAAGTTTCTGCTATTTTTTTTTAACACAGCGCCAATTTGAAACTTCATTCTAGCATTTTTCTAGAGCTTCCCTAGTCACAAGTTTATACTTACAGAGATATGGTATTTTTTTTTAACCAACATGTGATAAATCATGCTTAAAAAGCGAATAGTAACTTTGGTCGAACCCAAGTAGCACAGAAATATTGTTATTAGACTGAAGTGCTTTATATCCGATTTGTTAGAGCATTCGAAGTAACAAAACTGATTTTTAAGAGACTCAATAAATACAAATGTATCATGAAAACAAATTTATTTTGTTATTTTGCTATATAGATATTTTCAAGATTAATTGAAATAACAATTTTATAAGTTTAGTAATTTACTTGCTCATAAATATTTATATGACAAGACTTATAAAACTGTATTTGTTTGAGATAGATATATTTTGTAGTTGCTTTATAGCAATATTCACAAACAGATATATATCACTTATAAAAGTATGCATTTTGTTTAATTACGGCTTTATCATAAGATTTTATAGTATTTATGGAGAGTAATCTGTAAAACAGTTCATTCTTAGCAATAATTTAGTTCCGTTCAATACTTTTATAAAACTATTTTATAATTGTTGTGGAAGAAAATTGAATAAGGCACTTAAAAAAGGGTTAAATAACAGAAGTTTCTCACAAAATACAAAATTATTATTAGGGTAACCTTATAAAAATGTTATAGCACTAACCTAATATTTAGTTTATCTACCTACGCTGCAGAAAAATCTTGACATTTCTAGTTTTAATTCCAGTGATAATTGATATAGTGTCATATTCCTCCATAATATCATGACATTGTACCTTTTACGACCCTCGAATACTTTCCCAAATAATGTCTCGCCGTCGCCGAAAGCAATACTATTATATGACCCAGACTTTCTGTTAAAGAACCCAAAGATATTGTATGTAAATAAATTAAACATTTGTCCACCATAAACCCCAAAATTCCCAAATAATGTCTCGCCGTCGCCGAAAGCAATATTATTATATGACCCAGACTTTCTGTTAAAGAACCCAAAGATATTGTATGTAAATAAATTAAACATTTGTCCACCATAAACCCCAAAATTCCCAAATAATGTCTCGCCGTCGCCGAAAGCAATATTATTATATGACCCAGACTTTCTGTTAAAGAACCCAAAGATATTGTATGTAAATAAATTAAACATTTGTCCACCATAAACCCCAAAATTCCCAAATATCCTTAATGGTCATTCTTTGGGCGAACAGACTGTCATTTATTGCCAATATTTATTTATGGTTTTCCAGTTGTAATTATGTAGGTTTTAGAAACGTTTTAGAAGGGATGTAAAGGTCGATTTGTAAGAGATCTAGTGAAGCAAGAAGACAGTCTTAAGACAGCTTCAGTCGTAGTAACACATTTTGTTAAAACTCTCTCTAAAATAAGTCTTACTTTTGCTGTAGTTCAATTTCATTCTATATTCCATTACCTAATAAAGCTACAAGTTTCAAACCAAAAACAAAAGTAGTTTTAACCAAGGCAAAACACTGAAGGATCACAACAATAGCTACCTACCTATTGATAATTATCAATATGTCAAACATTTTTTGCTGGATAAAATTAAGAAGAAGTGGCAATTTCAGGACAGAGGTACAGGCTAATTTCGAAAGATCTGATTTGGTGTCATTTAAGCAACATATATCTGTATTGAGGACGTTTAGCTTATAATAACGTAACATAACATAGAATAGTAAAGGTCTGGGCACACATGACCGCACCGAGTCCGCACCGAGCCCGCACCGAGACACGGCCGTGTCTCGGTGAATAGTTGTACCGTGTTTTCTTATGTCGTAGTCTTCACATCTACGCACCGTGCCCGCGCCGAGCCCGAGTGACACCACCGCACCGCGTCCGTACCGTGCGAGATTAGTTTTGTTTAATTTTTGACGGGCACGGTGCGTTGCAGAAATGGAGAAACTGATAGAAGAAGTCAAAAAGTATCCTGTATTGTACGACCAAAGAAATGAAAAATATAGGAATGCTGAATATAAGGAAAGGGTATGGACTTTAATTGCTACGCATTTAGAAATAAAGGGTAAGTCAAAATACATATGTTTTATTTTCAATTAAGAATCCTGTTAAAATAGGTTGAAATTGATTATACCTACTATACAGGGTGAATCTGAAAGTGAGGTTTTATTTTCAAAAGGATATATATCTCCACCAAAATAAGACTCCATATAAAATATTTTGTTTACATTTCCTCACACTCGTAGTACGACCGTCATGCGGCCGTGTGTTGGAAATGTGTGGCTTTTACCTTATTGAGCGACACACTGCCGTGTTACTGCACGGACTCGGTGCGGGCTCGGTGCGGATACGGTGCGGTCATGTGTGTCCAGACCTTAATAAGGTGTCCAATTTCTAATTTTCTTATAAATGTATTCTACGATAAAAGTATCGTGAAATTGATACAGTCAGATAAACTTTATAATAATATTGTTAATTAAGCAATTTTTCTGAAGGCTATATAACAATAGTATTTTATAAGGGTTTTATTATTATCGCAATTACTTCAGATATACCGACACCCACGCCACCAAGCACCGTGATCTGAAAACAAATATACATAATTCAGAACAGGCGATGCGACGTTGTCAAACTGAATATATTATCTTCAAGTATCCAGAATATTTATTTGAAATTCAATAAAAGTTATTAAGGGTTGATTATGATCGAATGCCCTAGACAAATACGCAAACACATGAACCGTTACAAGTTACTGTCTATACAGGGTGTCCCAGGGAAAACAGTCCACCCCGATATATTGGATTTGGGATGAGAATCTGGAAAAACGCTCGGACAAGTCGAAGTTTTTTCTTATTATTATTAATGAGGAGGTGTACACGAGAATTGTAAATTGTAGGTATTTTTAATCATATTTTTATTAAGGGAGGTAAGTACCGCTTTTACTCCTAGTAAAACATAGTCCATTTCCAAGATTTTGACAAGCTGTCATTTCGTTACGGATGAAAATAATAAGATGAAATTCTAGGGCCATAAAGAACTCAATGAGACCTTTAAAAAGAGGTATGACACGACCCCTATTCTCTATTCAAATTTGGGGGGTTGTTCGCCCCCTGGCTAGGGGGTTGAAGCTACGGGGATGAAAAAAACTGAAAAGTTTAGTTCCTCTCAAATAACACATCGATGTGTCCGAGCGTTTTCCCAGATTCTCATCCCAAACCCAATAAATCGGGGTGGACTGTTTTTCCTGGAACACACTGTATTAGGTAGGTACTGTAAACCTGCTGGTAAACTACAGTGAACTAAAAATTAAAATGCAGAGAAGGTATAATCTATATACCTATCTACCTATTTAATATAATTCAATCAAAAACTTATTGGAATTGTTACGGTACGGCCAAAAAATCTAATCAAGTATGACTATTTTCTTCCAATTTTAAATTCCAATTTTTTTGATTCAATTTTGTCGGCCACGAGTTTTTGGTAAGTATGATTTTTATAAATTAAGTTCGAAAGTTACTAGTATCTTTTGATTTTCATCCATACAAAATTGAAAATATATAAAGGTACACGTTTGTTCTTGACATGGCAACATTGCAATGACTGGAATATTATAATAGTTTTACGCTATGTCATTTTAGATAATAAAATACAAATGTTTTATGGAACTGCATTATATAACACGTTATAAATCAAATATGTTTTATAAATAATAAATTTGTTTATCAAACATTTTCTTGGCGATAAAAATGATTTATTAGTCGACGCCATGTTTTCACGTTTAATTTCACTTGGTCATATGTCGGCCATTTTGTCGTATCCAAAATAGATTAAATAAAATAATACAATTTAGAAAATTGTCGTTGCTAAAAGAATAAAATCAGTTCACAATGACATAGGACAAGGGCGTACCCAGGATCTGAAATAGGGGGGGGCTGACCAAAAAAAAAAAACAATGGATTTTGCATTTCTCTTTTTAATTACTAAATTTTGACATAACTCGCTTAATTTTTACTTCAATAACAATTTTCTTGGATTTGTCGCAAATTTATTTAAAACTTGATTTTCAAATTGCTCTCGATTTGATTTAATTAAATCACGATGCACACTCATGAGACATAATCCTGTTAACCTTTCCTCTCCCATGGTACTTCTCAACCAAGTCTTCAATCTTCGAAGAGTACTGAAGGATCGTTCTACAGTGGCCGTGGTGCATGGAATTGTGTTAAAATCAAAAGTGCCTGTTTTAGGACGGGATAAAAAACATCGGTCTCGTCGAGTTCAGTTATTTCGACGTCTTTTAGCTGGTCCTCAGTTGACTTTTTTTCCTTCCACAAATTATACCATAGGTCCATTTCCGCAGTAATATCGTCCAATTTATAAAACTGGGTAAAATATTGTGCATTTTGTTCTACTTGATTGGTTTCCATGTCGAGCATATATAATGGATGTATTTTTGTTAAGGCAAACGCTGGAGTATGTTCTTGAGAAAAGCGAATATTTAAAGAGGCTATAATTGAATCCAGATACGGTATAATTAACGAACGCTTCCAGTAGTCACTATCACAGTCTGATGGAGGATTGTTTCTATGTATTTGCCTCTTGGTAATTCGAGGGATAGAAATTTCTATTTCCAATTCCAATGCAAAGTCTTGTGCTTTTTTAAGTACTTCATCAATAACTAGGTCGGCATCTTCACGGTTTTTCTTCAGAAGGTTAAGGATTACGTTCAGATGTTCTTGCAACTTAATTAAATCCATAGTTTTTGCTTGCAAGGCATTAACAACCGGCTCCAGTAAAGCTGAATATTTTGCAATTATAGTTAGGGCAACAATTAGTGAGGGTTT